TGTATGTATTAGGCATATGACTGTATCCATATACCTAACTTAAATACCTGCATATCTATAATTACATGTTCCTACAGTGGGAAGCCCCGCCAGCCGAGGCGGGCGCGCGCTAGCGTTTACAATTAACAAATGGGTGGCGACTTCAGGCATGTAAGGCCGCAGGGGTCTGAAGGGATATGCCGCATTTTGTGGGCATACAGTTCATAACTGCATGACATATGCCAAGTGGGGGGTCTACACAAAAAAACGCAATACCTCAGATGGTAAAGGCTCATGGCTTTGTTCTGCGGCAGCTGCTTGCCAAGCTTCAATGGTCCTGAATTAACATCCGTCGCGCTGTGTCAGCAGTCCCTGTGCATTCTTTCACAGTGCTCTGCATATCTTCATCTTGCTGTGAGTTTGCACTGCTGCCAATGTTTGGCTCTTCTCTGAATGATGCGGTCGGATTGACGGTTTTTCAACATCCTGATGCAGGGTTCTTCGAACTGAAGCCAGGCCAGTAGTGGTCTGGGGTGAACCCAGCTACTGGGAGTCTAGGCACCAGCTTCACAGTAGCGGTACGCCACCGCACCATCCACCTGGTGGCCAAATTAGCAAAGAGAATGTTCAACTCAAACAGGTTTTTCGAAGAAGAGCGCACGGTATCATCGCCATGTGTAAATTGATGCTGCCGACTGTTCCTTACAACTGTTCTCGCTGTTTAGTCGTCTTCAGAACTAGCATGTTGGATGATGTTGCACGTACTGCTGTTGCCACTGCTACCTCCGCCGCCTCCTCCGCCTCCTCCTCGTCATCCCTCCTCCTGCAACTACCTAAGACCTAGAAGCCCAGAGCAACACCTTGTGGATCTTGGTTGTGAAGGAGCGGAGCTTGACCTCCTCGCTGTCACCTGGACCCAGAAAGATGTGAGGTCAGTGATTGCCAAGGGCTTTCAAGGCCTAAGTTCGGGTCGTCGCTGCATGATCAGTATGACATAATCTAGCAGATACCAGCAGAGCATTGATCAATTTGAGACCGTCCTAGCTACGGGGATCCATGAGCTTCTTGTGGATCAAGTCAAAAACCACTGCTACTGACAGTGCAGATGCCTACTTTGGGATTTAAGTCAGTCGAATATTCCTTATGCAGCATTCCTTGTCTCACCGTATGCTGGAGCAGTGAATCACCAGGGCAGGCACCAACTATGTACTTGGGATCGCTCTCCGCCCAGGCCAAGGGGACCTGCATAGCGAGACATGTTGCGGTCGGGCTGCTGGCTGTGGTCCCAAGAGGCAAGCGGACCAAGCTTTGTCGAAAACGTCAGGCACCCATGCTCCCAGGATTCAAAGGTGCCTCTGCCCCGCGGTCTGTGTAGATCAGCAGATCGAACGTGCAAGGCCTCACACCAAGATACAATGCGGAATCAACCCCATGCCTAGCTCACCTGTAATGTAATCCTTTATATGCTTCTTGTATGCTTCTTGAGCTATACCTACACTTCCCCAACGGGTCCCAACTTGACATGCCATTCCCTGAAACAACCCCAAGACCCTTGATCCGTGCACCTTACGTCTACTGGTAGTGGTCGTTCTATGACCTGTCATGCCTGTCAGTGTTGGCTACAGCAACTGGGGCAGTCACTCGTCCAGAAGAGGAAGGAAGGTGACAGAGGCTGTAATCTGGCGGATGATGGCCTCCAGAATCCAAGCCATGCGACAGTGGAGCAGCTGTAGCAGTTACAGCAGGGGTAGTAGGAGAGATGGCAGTTGCGCTCGCCATGCTACAAGCAGTTGTAGGTCTAGCTGTCGCTCTACTTACAGCCGCATTTGCCGGTCTTGAATAAGAATAACAATGCTACTAGTCATGGTAATGCTTCTAGTCGTAGTCGTACTACTAACAAAAATACTAATTATAGGAGGGACTGCCCTGGGGCCTGCGTTTTGCAGCATAGCCACTTGTGTTGGCGTTAACAATTCTACGAATTATATGGGACGAGCAAATTCCAGGGAAGTATCTGCAGCTATATCTGCAATAGTATCTAGCATCTTCAGGGTTTCAGGAGATTTGTGTTCAGGCTTCTGAACACTCAGGAGAATAGACATCATGGAGAATGGAATAGTAATACTAATGCTAACAGGGATTCGTAGTAGTAACAAGAAGAACACTAGTATACTTCTACTAGTCGTAGTAGTAGTAGTAGTAGCAGCAGCAGCAGCAGTAGCAGTAGCAGTAGCAGGAGCAGGAGCAGTAGCAGTAGCAGTAGCAGCAGTAGCAGCGGTCAAGGAGCGTAGTAGTCGTCATTGCACTAGTAGTTGAAAGAGCTGCTGCTGCTGCTGCTGCTGCTGCTGCTGCTGCTGCTGCTGCTGCTGCTGCTGCTTCAGAAGCCTCAAGAACTACAAAAGCGCATCGGGCATGGCAGTACTTGAGCACAGAGACGAATAGAAAGACTACAATGATAATGATGGCGCACCCTGGGTTGTCAAAAAAGGGTCTCCTTTTGGGTCCTAAAGGTCCAGAGTCCCCTATTATAAGCAATCTTACAAAAAGTTCCAAATACAGCAGTTGTGGAAGATGATGTCTCATTCAAACTCATCGTCATGATGTCATAATGGCCAAGACGTTCTGGTCATATCAAATACCAACCATCAGCAGTTCATGTGTTGTAATAATCGGAGATACGCTCAGCGAAGACAGTCGAGTTGAATTACCTGAGATTATTCACAAGCACATCCACGGCAATACTAAGAAAAGCAGTATGCAAACAGAACATGCAATGAGAAAATTGGAATTTCTGCATTTTATCTTCGCCACCCATCTCGCGATCCCATCTCTTCCCGACACTCATGCTGAACCTTCTTGTGCCGTCTATCCTTGAAGCACGGCTTGCACTGTAGGATGCTTTTATTCCCTTAGTTTTGCACTTGAGACTTAGACTCCTTCAGGGCACCCATGTCCAGCCAAGGCATCCACTATTGCACTGAGCAGTTGCAGCCTCATTAGGCCTCGTCCCTACAGGCCCAAGCTGGTCGAATGAGTTTGTGTCTCCGATCTGCTGAGTGCACGTTCATTCGAAGCTACGCTTCGCAACGGTCACAGAGGCGTCTCTGTAAGTTGTAGTGCCTCTTGGGGAAGGGCCACACAAATCATGAGAGCATGTGAGCGCCTCAAGAACTTGCTGCCAGCGCCTGGCTGCTCTGCCCAGACATGCCTAAACGAATTCACCAGGGACGACTACGGTCCTGTCCGGGATGCACACATGGAAGGCCCAACACTGCAAGTCATCCTTAAGCTCCCATGTCAACACAACGATAGAATCATGCTACTTTGCAGCATTTTGATAAGGGACCTTCTTTTTGCAGCCCTTGCTTCACAGACATCACTCTATGGCATTCTACGACAGAGATCTGCACTGCACATATTGAAGGTCTCATGGCGAATTCTGAACACCTGCATGCAGCTCAGTCAGGCCTCAGAATCCGATGAACCTCAGAACTCATGCGAAGTACTGTCACGATGTGACCATACGGACTCAAGATTTGGACAAAAGCCGCAGTCAGACGCGTGAAACCTGAGTACAGAACCTCTGGGGCGATGAAGGAGCATTCTGTCCCTGGCGGAGCGTTGCAAGTTCAAGATTGCGACGCACCCAAGTGTGTAACGACTGCAAAGCCAGTCTACCTTTGCTGCTACTGCAGGTGGGGTCGTGACAACAAGCGGTGCCCCCCCCCCCCTGCCCCTCTGCTTGCCTGCATACTTTTGGAAGATGGCATGCTGCTCGATGCTTGGCTCCTGCGCGCGATCTGTAGAAACACTTCAAGTTGTCAATCTTCACTCAATGGTTTCAAAAGTGGCGATGCTCAGGTCCCAAACTGAGGGTGCCAAAAATTTTGGATGCGTAGGACACGCAAAAGTATGACCAATGGCAGTTGACTTCTCTGCCCACCAGTCCGCCAAGAGGCTGCAGGTGCTTCGCAAAATCACGCGCCTTACCAATCCACATTAACATTGAAGAGATGATCAATTTGGCAGCGTAGGTTATGGAAACTGGAGACCTTCACGCAAGACTTCAAAACTGCCGCACTGCACGGAAGACACCTACAGAACCCCCGCCACGCCTGCTAGTTTCCAAGTCTTAGATGTGTGGCCACGAGGCCTAAAGCTGATCTTCTGGTGTAGGGCAGTATCTTATGGTGAAAACCTAGTAGGCTCTGAGCCTGGCACAGCTGCTGCAACCGCCTATCATCAGGAACGGCCATCGTTTGCAGCACGTGGCACGGCCTTCCGACCAGAATCCACGCAGTTGTAGAGATGCAGACGACAGGACAATAGAGGCAGAACTTAAGGGTAAGGCCCTTACGCTCTACTTGCCAACGTTTCTGCTTCGAGTGGATCATCTCGAGTGTAGCAGCAGTAGAACACTACTTTGCAACTGCCTCGGTCATTTCCACACACCAACCCGGTTGTTGCTACGTATCGCACCGACCTCAGTCGTGGACCATTAGCTATGAAGACAAACCTCATCCTGAGGGGCGGCCTTTCATACACCGTTCCGGCCAGCATCACCATGGCGGCTGCATGCAGAGAGGGCGCCCAGCGGCCCGCCGCTTCCTCACTTGCTGCCGTTTATGAAGTGCTTCACTACCGTTATTAGACCAACGCAGACCTCATTTCGATTCCCATCCTATGTGGTAAAGGATACCCTCGGTTCACACAAGCAAGCTCATAGGCAAAGGCCAGTTGTCGTGTAGGTTTTTTTTCTGCCAGCGCGAGGCGGGTTCTGTTGGTGTTCTCGTTGAGAAAATACCATAGAGCCCCCAGAGCATAGGAGGAGCCAACCCTGAAACCCCCTTAGTATCAATCACGCTCGCACCACCTGAGGCTGGAGATAAGGGTGGGGGTGTAATCCCTGCAGTTCTACATTTAGCGGTCTTTTCTTGTAGCATGGGTCCCAGCTGTCATATTATGTTTCCACTAAGTGGTCATGGGGAAAACTGGTGTCCAGTCATCCCCAGCTACCTGAGGCGCCAACATTGAGCAGAGCTAACCTAGCAGAGATGAGATGCTGCGACAAACATTGCCGGCGTCATGTCTACTGTCATTGTGAGGATGATGTTCAGTCATGACAAGAAAGTGGCTTTGCTTCAGCGAGAGAAGAATTGAATTGGACGGTGCTGGTTTTCAAGCTCCAGTCCGAGCACGGTTGTAGGTTGAATCAATATTCAATGGAGCGTACATCCTTCATATCGGGTACCGAAGCGGGCCAAGCCTTTGCAAGAACTTTCCGGGAACTATGCAGGAATGGCACCATCTGCCAAAACCTCATACTAGTTGAATGCAAGGCTGCTGCTGGAAGAAAACTTCCACTCAAGGCCACCGTGCAATCTCCGCCTTCGGCTCTAAGGCCCAGGCTCGCAAAGATATTGTGAAGCCAACTTCAGCTTCTCCTTGAATGCTGAAGCTTCTCTACAGGCATTCCCTACCGGCATTTACCTTGAGGTTTAACAGTGTGAGTTTGGGGTTACTTTGCTGTCCAGGATACACGATTGATACGTTAAACCTCTGGTTTCAGATTCTGTGCCTGTGATGAAGTTGCAGACGGTTTGGAATCCCGTAGCTACACGGCAACTGGAGGAAGTTCAGCAGAACACGATCAATGTGGTTGCAAGTTCACATCCCTAAGCCCAAGAACATCCACGAACCTTCAAGCAGGCTACTCCCGCACCTTGGGCTCTTTGAACTCCTCGTACTGATGGACGTACTCCACAAACCTGCATGACAAACAAACTGTTGAGGTTTGGGTCTGAGCAATCTAAAGAGCAGCAGAATCAAGCAAAAGCAACGAACAGCTGCCCAGGCGATGGGCAGACAGTGTGACAAAGGTCTGAGCTGCTTTCTGCTTTCGGTGCACAAGCTGACGTCTGCAACGGTGGACCACACTTCTGTGAGGACACAGTTCTGCGGGACTTTCAGAGGGTGATGTCGCAAGTTTGCTTGACGCGTGCTGGGATTCTTGTTGACTGTCCCTTCGGCTAACAGTAACGCTCCACTTCTGAGCCGGCTGCCACTCGCGATGATGTTCCGGCGTTGGCCTCTCTGCAAGGAGCTATCTTTCCGAAAAATGGTCAACAATCCGTGCAGGACTGCACCACTTTGTCAGTTTGTCTGTCCATAGAAGCACAGCATGAATCTAAGGCTTCTGGTCCTGAACTTCCCTCATCCCTGAGTCGCAACTACACCCTAAGTTTCGAAGCCCGGCGCGCCCGCAGAGTTCCTTGCCCCCATGAGGTTACGCAACAAAGCCGGCGGCTTCAGCTGGATAGTGATCTGAGAGTGGGAAAACAGAAACGGATAGCGGATACATGGTGATGACATCGGAATCAGACGGCCGTGTGCCTGTGCATTCGATATTCCACCGCAGCCAGCAAAGCCCTCTCTGCAGCTTCCTGGCTAAGAGGCTAAGACGCTGTGCTTCACAGGGGCCGAATAAACGATTTCTGGATGGCAGATCAAATCACTACGCCATTGAAAGGCGAGGGCTTAAGGTACACAGTTGCGGAGTCAACAGCATTTTCAAAGAACAGTCTCAAGAAGATTCGTTCTGCAATCTGCCAAGATTGCAAACAAAAATACATCACTTACGATGGAAGGACAGTCAGCCTAAATCCAATACAGGGCTGCGATTCTGTGATCTGCT